GATTTTTCAATTAAAAACTAAAAAAATAATATAATTTAAAAATAGATGAAGCTATACTATAAGATGCCCTTTAATGTGTGTGTTTGTGTGTGTGTGTGTGTGGGGGGGTTAATGCTCTATCTGAAAACCTTCAGAAATTAATTTAGGTGATTGTGGGAAAAACATTCATGTTATAGAACAAAAGACGTACCCCTTTTCCATTTCCAAGCAAAAACGTGATCAGTCTGATGAAACCGTTCCTCCCAAACATGTGGGCACAGGCTTTTGTCCCCTGTAGAGGAAATAGGACAAAGGAAGCATTTAGTACTTATTATCAACACAGAGAATGCTGTCATTATTGTTAAAACAATATTTTTTAAAAAGTATTTAGTAAGAGTTTTGAGGCACTTAAAAAAGTATTTAGTAAGAGTTTTGAGGCACTTAAAAAAGTATTTAGTAAGAGTTTTGAGGCACTTAAAAAAGTATTTAGTAAGAGTTTTGAGGCACTTGCAACAGATATAGGTCATACAGGTGCTGAAGATGAGAAATGTTACTAGAAAGTAACCGACAAAGAAAAGAATGAGGAGAGATGTGGATGATCGATTAGTTTAGTTTTAGTAGAGGTTTTACGGCGCTCGCAACTGCATATAAGGTCATATGAGCACCAGGAGATTAGAGGTGTTACAAGAGAGTAACAAACACAAAAAAGAAGAAGGGGAGATAAGGACGATAAATGTTTGATAGGAAAGAAGGGGCAAACCACACAAGAGCACCCGCCAACCACCCACGGATGATAGATGTTGGATAGGAAAGAAGAAGCAAATATATAAATAGGCCAACTGTATTGTAAATAAAGATAGAATAAAAATTGGCAAAAGGAAGGAAGACAGAGAAGTGAAGAAAAGAACGCAGACAAGACAGACATGAGAGGAAAGCGTGCACTAATACATTCCACAGAATGAACAAGGCATGAATAACGTAGAAAATACAAATTTACAAATTATAATGCACTAATGTGAATCTGGGAAGACATATAATATCTTATATTTTTATTATACTGCTGTTTATTCCAAAGAAAGAGTAAGACTAAGACAGACAAATAGAAACAATGGAGAGACAGAAAAAAAGTAGGATCTCTAACCACCAGCTGCGAGAGAGAGAGAGA